GTGGGGTCGATGCCGTGCTCATCACTGATGACCTCCCAAAACTAGAAGGTGGGTGGAAGGGGTGGCAGTGCGGATTAGGAGAGGGGGCCCCACGAGCTCATCTTCTGGGCCCAGGACCCTCACGCACCTCTCGAGCTGCCCATAGCTCCCAGAGAGGGGACCAGGCGACATGGTGGCAGCAAAGGATGGGGCGGCAGGAAGGTCGAGGTGGGGGCGGGTGAGGCAGGGGGGCCGGCTGCAGCCCGGGGAGGGACGGGGTCCCTTTGTGCGCTTGGAGGGGCCGGCTGGCCAGCTGTGAGGCCAGCTGCGGCAGGCGGACAGAATGCTGGCCCCACCCCCATCGGCCCCTTTGTTTCCAGCCTGGTGTTGCCCCCAGCCCCTCCCCCATCTTCCCTGGGGTGCGGGCCTTCTGGGGACCCGGTTCCCCAAGGCCCAGAGTTGGGTGCTCCGGAGAGCTCCGGGCCGCCCGCCCTCGCGCTCCTCCAGCCGCCCTCTCGCGGGTTCGGGCGCACCTTGGCCCCAATCTGGTTGCCGCACTGGCCGGCCTGCAGGTGCACGATCTCGCGCATGCTGGGGCGCTGGTGGAGGACGCGGTGGCGACGCTGAGGCTGGAGCGGACGGCGGTGACGGTGGCTAAGCACTGTCCCTGCGCCCCGTGGCACCGCTATATGAGCGGGAGGGGCCGCGTCACCACTGGTCACGGGCCGCCCCGCCCCCTAGTCCCGCCCCGGCACGAAGGGTGCAGGCTGGAGGGATCCCCCTGAGGGAGGGGCGCGCCTGGCCGGAGCATCCCCTTCCCGGCTCCATTGGCTCAACCCCAGCAGGCCTTGGGGCTCGGGCTCCATGAAAACTGGGGGTCGTAGGCGCGGGGCACGGAGGACGCTTTAAACCAGGAGTTGGGGAATGCTGCCTCCCTGACTCGTCCCCCGCCCCACCACCCCGTTCTATCATTTCACTCCAAGCCCTGCCTCAGTTTCTCTGCTCGTGACCTCCTTGCCCACTCTAGTTCGCTAGCCCCTAACTACCCTCCCCCTCCCATCGACCGGGAGGGGTGAAAATCGTCACGCGTCGGAAAAGGGAGATGGCTTGAATCTACCCAGAATCACCTTGGGGCAGGGGGGGTGGGGTCGAAGGCCCAGAGATTTGCAGCCCCCAAAGGCTTAGCCTTCAAAGTCCCCCAGGGTGGTTCTGTTCCACACGCACTGGCTCCCCAGGAACCCCCCAAACCCCGGCTGCGATGGGGCGAGGGGGAGGCGGGCACGAGTAACTTTCTGTAATTTTTTTGAGGGGGGAGGAGGAGGCTCTCCTTGGAGGGCCTGTCTTAAAGTAAACCCCCACTTTTCTACGATTCCTGATTGGGGGTGCTTGTGGAGGGCACCACATGCTTCCACTGGACACCCCTGTTGGGTCTCTGGGTCCCACACAGGTGTGGCGGGGTCACCCCTAGCCTCTCAAGGAATGGGCCTTATGCCTGGATGGAACATGGAAGTGTTGGGGAGCCCCTGAGGGCTGCCTAGTTCCCCGAAGGGTACCTTTTTCCTGTGAGCCTATAATTGACGACAACCCACCCCTTACCTCACCGTTATTAATTGCTCTACACCCGGGCGGGGGTCGTGTCTCTGGGCAATGTATACCACTCAGTTGCTAAAGGAAAATTTGGAGCTTCTAGTCCACTGGGAGGTGCTGCGGAAGAAAGGCCTGCCCATCTGTGGGAGGCCAACCAGTCATTTAGAAAAAGTCTAAGGAGCACAGTTGCGCGGACACTCCACTGGGCCTCGGGGAGTTGGGGCGGACTGGTTTGTCATGACCTTGGGCAGACCCCTCGGCTTCCTTGCGTGGTGTGTTCTCTGTAGGACAGCTCACGGTGACCCTCGCACAGCGCAACATTGTAGCGACTCCAGTGCTAACTAAGATCAGGGATTGCCTCCCCCTCCAGCTGCAGCCTCGGAGGTCCTCCGGGAATCGTCCTTCTCACCCCTTCCCACCCACTCGCCCATCCGGGAACTCCTCCTGGGCGAGAGCAGGGGTGAGGGTGAGGGGTAGCCAGGTGGGCCATGTGACCGTGGCCTCACGTTTCTATTTTTAACTTCTTTATTTAGTTGTTGTTGTAGAGACTGCAGCGCAGCGGCACGACTTCTCCTGCACGTGGACACTGACGGCGTTCTTGCAACTGGGCCAGCTTTCTAAGACGGCTTTCTGAGGGGTTCCTCCACCACGAACAGGGATTCACTGTCCCCCAAGTTCCCAGGGAACCTTTCATGATGCTGTTGTTGATGTCATCTTAGGTGGGCTTCACCGCCGCCCCCCCCTACTTTTTCTTTGTTTTAATTTTTTTATTGTGAATTATTTAGGGCATCGGTTTGACACATTTTGTTTCAACTCTTCCATGGCCAATCTCAACGGACCGTGGCGTCCCACCTCCTGCCTGTGTTTCCTGTTTGCATTCCTCCTCCTTCCCTCCCCCTCCGAACTTTGACCTTGGGTCAGGGCTGCGCTTTGGATCGTGAGCAGTGGATACTTTACCCCAGGAGCCAGTTCCGTTGCAGTCCCCAAGGTCTTGAAGAGAGGGGACATTCTATTGTTTAGTTTAAAGGAGACTTCAGGTCGGGAGTTGGGGGTGTGTGCTTTTAGTTTAATGTTTAAAATGACCTCTGGGCAATAATTTCTGGGGGGTGGTTTATTCAGCCCCTGGGGCTCAAAGAAAGTCTGGAGTCCATGAGAATTTCAGATCTGCATTTTGACCAGCAGCTTTTGAGAGAATCTCTGATCACACCACTCAGTGATGGCAGCTGCACCCATCCAGTGTCTTCTGCTCTGCCATGAGAGGGGATTAGCCATCCATTCCATTTCCACCTCCTGTTTCTTGCTCAAGGAGCTGTGGGGGCATAGCAGGTTCCACAAGGTCAGCGGTTCGAACCCACCGGCAGCTTCCTGGGAGAAAGGCGAGGCTGCCTGTTTCCAATAAAGATCCTCAGTCTCAGAAACTCTGTAGGGTTACTATGATTCGGATGGAGTCCTGGTGGCAGAGGGCTTATGCATTGGGCTACTAACAGCAAGGTCAGCAGTTTGAAACCACCAGCTGCTCCACAGGAGAGAGATGGGGAATTCTACTCCTGTGAAGAGTTATGGTCTCCGAAGCCCACAGGGGCAGTTCTGCGCTGTCCTATAGGGTCGATACGAGCTGGAATTGACTAGATGGCAGTGGATTTAGTTTTGGGTGTGGCTTGAGCCCCAAGACACTGTTGTTCCCCTCCCCAGCCCCCAAGCCACCCCAGGGGACAAGGGGTTCTGCTTTACTCTGTATAATAAGAGTGACAAGCAGGCCAGAGCGTGCGGCTAGAATTTGCGACCAGTGATGCATCTATTGGATCAGCTTGCTTATGTTTTAATGCACGAAACTACAGCCTCTGTAGGCAGGTCTGCCACCCTTCCTACTTGTCCCTCGCATCGGTCAGTCTGTCCTTTGGGGGTGGCTTGCCTGCTGCTGGGAGGCAGGAGGCTATGTCACCAGGATTTCAAATGCCAGTGGCCTATTTGCTGGCAGACTAAGTAAGACCAGGAGGAAAGGCCCAGCGTGTGACTTGTGAAGGCTAGCTGACACAAAACATGTATGGGCAACCTTTATTCCTGAATAAAGAAGGGTGCTGGGAAAAAAAAAAAAGTTGTGCCCTCCCTTGCTTTACTCATGCCACAGGGAGGGATCAATTGCTGGAGGAGGAGGGGGCGGGACACAGCAGGGGCCCAGTGGGAGCCCAGTGTGGAGACCACCAGCATGGAGCTCAGCTGGGACATGGTGGACATGGGAAGGCCGGCTCTGGCCGGGGCTACATTTCCTTCTTGTCTGTAAGCTCACCAGGAGTCCACTCTAGGGCAGCTACCAAGAGCAGGAGGCAGGTGTTATTTGCATGCCTGTTTTACAGAGAGGGAAAATCGCATCCCACAGAGGATGAGCTACACCCTGCTATGGTTGGAAATTGCAGAGCCAGGGCCCTGGGTGGCTCCCTGGCAAGTCCCTTGGCTGCCAACCGGAAGGTCAGCTGTTCCCACTCCCCGGCTGTCCCATGGGGGAAAGAAAGGTCATTGGCTTTCATCAAGATTGAGGTTCTTAGTGCCGTGCCGGTGAGTTGGCTCCGAGTCACAAGCGACCCTGTGCACAGCAGAACGAAGCACCACCCGGTCTGGCCCTGCAGCGTCCTCACCATGGTTGCTCTGTTTGGCCTCACTGTTCTAGGCACCGTGTCCATCCCTCTCATCACGGGGCTTCCTCTGGATGGAGTAGCAACACCGGGAGGGTAGGGGGAAGGAAGGGGGAAACTGATCACAACGGATTGACACATAACCACACCCCGCTCCCTCCTGGGGGACGAACAACTGAAACTGTGGGGGAAGGGAGACTTCGGTTGGTGTGAGATATGAAAATAATAATAATTTATGATGTATCAAGCGGTCATGAGTGTGGGTGGGGCGGGGGAGGGAAAAAAGAGGAGCTGATCCCAAGGGCTCAATGGAAAGTAAATGTCTAGAAAATAACGATGGGACCATAGGTACAAATAAGCCTGATACAATTGATTTCTGGATTGTTATAAGAGCTGTAAGGGCCCCCAATAAAATGATCTTTAACATAAAAATGAGGACCTAATGTCGGGGGTTTAAATGGAGAGAAAATGTTTTGAGAAACGATGTTCAAATGCGCTTTACACAATTGATGTGTGTATGGATTGGGATAACAGTTGTATGAGCCCCTAATAAAATGTTAAAAAAAAAAAAGATCTTTTAATTAAAAAAAAACCAACCCAAACTTGACAGAAGGCCGACAAGAGGGGAGGGGGGGCGGGGGAAGAGTCTTCTTCTTTTTCGCTGCCCCTCTACTTTATCAAGCATGATGTCCTTCTCCAGGGACTGCGCCCTTCTAATGACGTGTCCAATGAGGAGGCACAGCTGTACAGATACAGCCTTGTCGACCCTAAGGGGTCAGGTTTACTCTGGCCTGTAGGATCACTATGAGTCTGATTCGACTGGACTCCATCAACCTCAGGGGGTCTTACGTTTCACTACTATCCCTCCAGTGCAAAGACATCCTTCTCTTTGGCTCATTAGCAGGACGGCATAGGAGAGTCAGTGTTACATTGTTAATGGACCTGGAACGGGAGCTGCTGCTGCTACTGTTTTACTCTGGAACCGAAGGCGTTGTGAGGTGCTGTTACTTTGTGGCAGAGTCTGGTCTAGGAGATCTATGGTTCCTTTGTTACTCTGAACCCTGGAGATGCTGTGATACTTTGTTACACAGGCTGGAGTAGGAGCTGCTGCAGTTACTTCATTCCTTGGTCTTAAATTTTAAAAAAAGGCTGGCCTTGGAAGGGGTGTCTTTCAGGTTGACAATGTTGTCCGTGTCCAGGCAGCTGTGTGACCGTCACATGCCCTGAGGCTTGGGTCTCTGTCTGTGTCACGTGCCTGTTCCCCGTGGTGCCCGGAGCCCTGGGCTGGCTCTGATCTGGGTTCAGCCTCCAGACCCTGAATCTATGCTTTCTTTGTGCTCAGCGCTCCAATGCTGGGCTCTCTTCCAGAGGTCTCCAGCTCCTCCTGCCACCCCACAGCCTGGCCCTCAGACCTGATTTCTCTTCCCTCTGCCCTGGCACGAGCCC